GTATATTAAACGTGAGATCTCAAGGACACTAGTGTTTGGGAGGGTAGTGAGTGCAAGCTGATTAGGCACGATAGCTCTCAGGAGATGTGACGTCCAGGCTCATTGTTCACACATTCAGGGACTGATCTGGGTTATCTCAGAAGCAGACCCCGAGACAAAGACGGGCATACAAGTAGCTTATTTGTGAAACTCAGGAAACACCCGTGGGAAGTGGAGGAAACGAGACAAGGGAAGGAAGACAGTGGGTAAAGTGTTTTTATTCTTAGGTAGCCTTTTGAGTGTGTGTAACATCAAGCCAGATGCTCTCATCCCTCTTCCCTCCCTTTCTTCTTTCTGTCTTTGAACCCATCTTACAGCCCGGGCGGTCCTGAAACTCCCAGTCTTCCTGCTGAGATTATAGGCCTTTGCTGCCATGCCTGGCGGGAAGATAAACTTTTGATCACATCATTCTTTGTAGCAGGATGGCTAGACCATCCCAGGGGCGAGGCCCTGCTAGAAAGCGCTTCTTCATCCACAACCACACCTTAAGGCTTCCTTCACTCTCTTTCTTTTCTTTCCAACAACCATAAAATCTTAGTGAAGGCCCTGTGAGTTTGAGGCCAGCCTGGTTTACAAAGCAAGTCCAGGACAGCCAAGGCTACACAAAGAAACCCTGTCTCAAAAAGCCAAAATAAATAAATAATAAATAAATAAACTCCTGATAAATTACAAATTTTATTCTTTATTTAAAAAATCTTTTTCTGTGCATGGGGATTTTCCCTGCATGTTTATCTGTTTAAACACAGCTCTTTAGCCCTCGAATCACAAATTTTTAAATGGATCACTTAACTTGAAAATGGGACTATTTTAACTTTATTATTTTTACATTAAATTTTAAATGTACTTTTTAGCATTAAAAATTTTTAGTCATTTTTAACATGATAGAAATCCTTAATATAGGTATTTAACCCTTCTTTTCTATTTTCTAGCAAAACAGCATGCAGTTAAGATATAGGGAGAGGCTATCAGTGGACTTGGGGAGGGGCATGCATGAGGAAGGGGGAGGGAGGGTGGGATCAGGAGGGGAGGGGGAGGGGCTTATGGGGGAATACAAAATGAATAAAGTGTAATTAATAGTAAAAAAGTAAATAAAAAATTAAAAAAAAAAGAAATAGGGAGAGGAGTTGAAGGGTTGCACACCTTTAATCCCAGCACTAGGGAGGCAGAGGCAGGTGGATCTCTGAGTTTGAGGCCAGCCTAGTCTACAGAGTCACTTCCAAGACAGCCAGGGCTACACTGAGAAACACCTTGTCTCAAAACAAAACCAGACTGACTGACTAGATGAATGAATGAATGAACGAATGAACAAACAAAGGAACAAATGAATAAATGAAGGAAGGAAGGAGGGAGAGGATCCAGAGCAAGTGTGATGCCTGTACAGAGGCCATTCTACAGGATGAAGTCAGCATAACTCGTACCTCAAAGTGGGGACCTTTAAAACAGAGCATCTGTAAAGACCAGTTTCTTCCACTAGCAGAAACTCCCTTCCAAACTGAGACGCAATTCCAGTCTCCTCACTAAGAAAAGTTTCTGGTAGGTGTGTCAACTGATTAGGTTTACTATCGATTTTTTTATTAAAAGGCTGGACTTTCTTGCCTACAGTGCTTTTATTGTGTTATGGTATATAATATTTTTCTACTTATAGGAGATAAATTGTTCTCCTTTGAATACATTTATTAAAATGAAAAAGGGAGCGGAAACATCATTCAGTTTTGGTCCCAAATTCAGCAAGGTAATAGCTTGTTTTCAGAGAATGTTATAGTTTTAAATTGTACCTGTTAGCAACCTAGTATGTATTTTTCTTAATATGTATGTTTTATGTAAATATGAGTATGTGCTCATATGTCTATATTCCTGTGTGTATGTGTATCCACATGAATTGTCTGTGACTTGTATATTTGTGTGTACATATGGACAGTGAAGTAACTTTAGGCTGAATCATATAAAATTGCCCTTTTGTATGTCAAAACTGTTAAATATCAGGAACTTCATATGGTTTAATTTCATTTTTCCCCCCAAAATGGTGCTGAACCTGCAGTCCCCCTGCATTAGCATCTTGAATGCTGAGATTACAGATATGTACCACTACACGCGATTCAAATGACTATATTTTTCTTTTTCTTTTGTTTTTGTTTTTTGAGACAGGGTTTCTCTGTGTATCCTTGGCTGTCCTAGACTCAGTTTGTAAACCAGGCTGGCCTCAAACTCACAAAGACCTGCCTGCCTCTGCCTTCCCAGCCTATCATATGGATCTTAACACACACACACACACACACACACACACAAGTAAATGAAAACAAAATTATTTTAAACCCACCAGGGCCTCCAAGATGACTCAGCAGGTAAAGCCCCGCCACTCAAGTTGGACAACCTGAGCTCAATCCAAGAACTCATGTAAATGTAGAAGAAAACTAATTCCATAAAATAATCCTGTGACCTCCACACATGTGCCATGATTCATGTGCCACCCACCCCCCCAAAACCACGAAATAAAAACATCTGCCACTAATTACATTGTTTCTGAAAGGCCATTTGAATATTAAAAAAAAATGTAGTACAAGCATAGGAATTCAGATCCTGAAAATCCAAGTAAAAATCTGATGCAGTGATATATCTATAACCCTGGCGTAGGAGGTGAACATGGATGGAGTTCAAGGTCTCACTGTTCAACCAAAAAGCTCTGTTCAGGGGGTGGTGTTTCAATAGGTGGGGAGCAACAGGAGAAGGCACCTTGCATTGACTTCTACCCTCCACAAATGCATGCATGGGCAAGTACACACGTACACACACACACACACACACACACACACACACACACTGATGTGTGTACATCAGTGCATCATGGATACAAAATGTACAGCTGGGTGTGGTGGCAAGTGCTTGCAACCCCAGCACTGGGACACAGAGGCATGAGGGCTATACAAGCTCAAGTCTTGCTCAGGCTACATAGTGCGTTTGAGGCCAGCCTAGGTTAAGTAACAAGATTACAATTTAAGAAAACAGTACTAAGGACCAGTGTGATGCTTCAGTGCAAGGTGCCTGCTGCCAAGCCGGATGACCTGAGCTTGATCCCAGGACCTAAATGCAGGAAGGAGAGACCCAACTTTCAGAAGCCATCATCTTACTCCCACACACGCACCGTTTGCACCATTGTGTACATACCCCTTAAATAAATTTCTAAAAATGTATACACACCCCTTAAATAAATTTCTAAAAATGTATACATACCTCTTAAATAAATTTCTAAAATGTAATTAAAAATTTTTAAAACTGAAATATAAAAAACAGCTTATAATCTTCATAAAGATTATAAACTTTTATATTGTCCTAAATCAATTTTATAAAAATCTCCCAAATTTGTCTTCATATTTCATTTTTTTAGACCAGTGGAAATTTCTGGCAGGTCAGGGATCTCTCAGATCCACTGTGATTCTCAGAAACACAGTTTTAAGTATGTCTTTAATGAATCAAAAGGGAATGCCATGCAAGCTTTCACGTTAGCCCTTTATTTGCATAGAAGAGGCTAGTTGGCTCATTCTAGAAATGTTTGCATTATTATGGTAGAATAAACTAGTACTAACAGATATCAAAATTTCACAATATGATCTGCTTCACAACAGTGTGAATATAATTAATTACACCCACAGCTTGGTTATCTGTAAATCTGCACTTGACATTGTAAACTGAAAACTTTTGTGTGTAGAAAGCCAAGCACTTATATGCCTAAGAAGATACATTTTATTTCTTCTTGTAACACGATTGTAGAGACAGGGAAGGGGGTAAAAAAAAAAAAAGCCCATAATAGAATAAAAAGTGCCCAAACATTAACAGACTCTGACTGGCCTCAGACCAATCACTTGGGATGTCTTATACAAGCATTTGGAGACCACCTCTGAATGGCACATGGTGCCTGATCCAAAATGGCCAATTAGGAGGTGTCTAAGCAGTGCTGTGAAACTTACTATTTAGCAAGCCCTTAGATACGGACAACGCCACACACAAAAGGCCCAAGAGATAAAACTAGCACTTCAGTTTCTCCGGCTCCAAAGGCCTTCCACCCCCTCTCAGCCGTGCGATCCTTCTCTCAGAGGATCGGATGCAACGGTACAGCAGCAGCGTTGAACAAAACTCTCTACTGCCCATTTCTGTCTTTTTTTTTTTTCTTTTCTTTTTTTTCTGCAAATTCCTTTACAGGCCCAGTGTCACTGTTTTCAATTCAGTCAGAGATGACCTTGAGCCAAGATCACAGTCCAAGACAGAATTTTTTTTTTTGCAGGCTCAGAAATGTCTCCTGCATTGTCCCATTTCAATCCGACCCACTACCATACCCACCACACACACAATTTAAGAGAACACCCAGCCCTTTGAGGCCCTAATCACTTGAAGAGGGTGTCCTATATTCATCCCAAAGCGTCATCCTTCACTGAGTACAATACGAAAGTTCTATTTTCCAGCAGCTGGGCAAAAAGCCGCTTCCAACTTGGATTAACTTTCTAGAGGATAGCTTTCCAGATTTTGCTCTGGTAAGTCCCTCCTCTCTCACCATCCTTTAGACCTCTTCCAATGGGTTCAGTTTTGTTTTGTTTTGTTTTGTTTTTTTTCTCGACGTCGTAAGTCGAGACTGAACCTTTAAAGAAGTAAGTTAAAACGAGGCACTGAGCAATGCTAACGCAGTTGGACTGGTGACTTTTAAGAGGAAAATTGGTCTTAGAGACACCCAGCGAGACTATGGGAAGAAAGGGGCCCTAGCTTGCAAGACCGTGAGAAAATAAACTTCCATTGTTTAACACCCGGTGTGCGGTGTTTTTTTTAGAGCAGCCTTAGCAAACTGATACATGCCTTTGGGGACATTAAAAACACATATCCCGGATTTTTTTTTTTTTTAAGTTTATTGTTTTCTAGGCCCCTGCTGCCTTTTGGGTTGTCGTCTATTTATTTTTCTACTTATCGATTTCACCAGGATGCGGTTAGGGGAGAGCAGGAACTGCGTGCTATTTAAGGCTGCATCCTGACGCCGCGAGAAGAATGAAGGAGTGACGGAGAAGCGGCTTCCCCAGGAAGACCCGCAGGCCCGCGGGGTCCCCGGGAGCCTGGGCAGGCGCCGGCGGCCGCGCCGGGCAGCGCCCCTGGGTCTGGCAGCCCCGGCCGGCTTCCGGCTTCCGGGAGGGCGGAGCCACGGGCAGGGCGCCGGCGCGGGCGGCGTGGGGTGGGCGTGGCCCGGGTGGAGGCGCCCGGACTGGGACGGCCGCGAGACGGCCGCGCTCCGGCGTCTGGGCTCGGAGGAGCCCGGGCGGGACGCACGTGCGCGCCGAGCTCCGCTCTCGGGTTGCGGCGGGGGAGAAGCCGGGGTCCAGCCCGGAGGTTGACGGTGCCGTGCATCCCCGCGGAAGCCGCGGGGCGCGCTGGGCGCTGCGGTGTGAGCGTGGAAGGCTGGCGGGAACGGATCCGGAGATCCTTCGGTGAGTAGGCGGCTCCGCTGCGGGGCGGCGGGCTGCTCCGGGTGGATGGCTGCGAGGCTCCGAGGACCGGTCTTCCAGCCAGCTTCTGTGATTGACAGCTGCTTCGGGAGGAACAGCGCAAAGTTTCTGCACTTAGTAAGGAGGCTCCCCCCCCCCCCCATATTCGGGGTTATTTCCACCATCTCCGGTCTCTTTGGACACACGGTCTTTCACCTTTCCTTCTCCCCCAGACTCCAAAGAGCTGCTCCCGCTGCTTTGGGGGTATCAGGTCCACTGGACCTGCTCCCGGTATCAACAGCTATTCATAATGATGAATGGACGATGCGGATGATGGATTTGGGTTGTTTCCAAAGTTGCTGCTACCGGCAGTTCTGCAGTGCCTCTAGTTGCACTTTGACACACCCTATTTCCCACTCGCTGGGAGCACGCACCCCTCTCTGTTTTAATTGCTTCTGAACCGAGGGTTCATTTCATCAGCTCTTGGGGCATCTTGGTTGCTGCTTGCTCATACCAAAATGCAGGCGGCTATGTGGATTGTTTTATCATCTGAGATACTCCAGCTGAACTTTAAGTTCAGATTTCTAGTTGTTGTTTGTTTGTTTTTAATGACTTTAAAAGATGATGCCTCGGGGCTGGTGACATGGCTCAGCCGGTCTTGCAGCCAAATCTGATGTCTTGGGTTCGACCCCCCCCCCCCATAAATAAATACATATAAGTTAATTTTTTTAAGATAGTTCTGTAGTGCAGCTTTAATTGTTAGGGTTTCCTGTAGACCTAACATTGTCTCGACACCGCATCCCGGTGCAGGGTGCTTACCATCCACCACGCTTTTTTTGTTTTGTTTTGTTTTTATACACAGGGAGACTGAAGCTCAGACATAAATGCCCCAGAGCTCTGTACAGGTCTTGGGGTTCTGACGTCAAAGATTCTTTCTTGACTCCAAATGTGTAAGCAGGCAGAAGGAGCATGCAGCATACAGGTGGGAAGTCAGGTCAGGGCTTGTGGGCATTTGTACATTTTGGGTGCTTGTGTCTTTGTATCTGTGGAGTTGAGAGTTCCTTCCGTATCCAAAACATTATTATTTCGGTATTTATGCCAAGTCCTTTAGGCCTTTTTTGCAGTTACAAATACATTTCTGCACTTCCAGCTGATTGATGGATGCTCTGGATCTCTCTTGCCTTTTGCTCTTCAAGCAGACAAAGCAGATTAGTGGGATGGCTCAGTAGGGAAAGGCTCCTGCTGCCAAGCCTCGAAACCTGAGTTCAATCCCTGGTCACCTCCCCACCCCCCCCATAAGTTGTCTTGTGACCTCCACCTAGGCCCCATGGCACAAGCACACACAGACAAACAAACAAATGAATAAAGTTTTAAAAGAAAGCACAGCCAGGCGTGGTGGTGTATGCTTTTAGTGGAAGCACTCAGGAGGCAGAGGCAGACGGATCTCTCTGAGTTTGAGTCCAGCCTCGTCTACAGAGTGAGTTCCAGGTCAGTTAGATCTACACAGAGAAACCTTGTCTCAAACCAAAAGGAAGGAAGGAAGGAGGGAGGGAGGGAGGGAGGGAGGGAAGGAAGGAAGGAAGGAAGGAAGGAAGGAAGGAAGGAAGGAAGGAAGGAAGGAAGGAAGGAAAAGACAAAGCAAGAGCACAAAGGCCTCAAGCCAGCTCGCAGGGCTACCTCCCAAAGAAACCAGCGACTGTTTCCAGAGTTCTTCAGGTCACACTGGTCTCTGATGTTGCAGGGTCTCCACAACTTTGGAGGGTAGAAAATGATGGTCTGAGGAGGAGCACAGAACCGGGAAGGGTGTCATCAAAAGTTGTAGTACTTTTTCCACCAGAAGCTGCACCCCAAGTCAGGCGGGCGCCATCATGCCTCAGCAGCTCCTGATCACCGTGTCCCCCGAGGCGAAGTTGAGGCAACCCAGGAAGACCAAGGAGGGGGCGTCCCTGTGGGACGATGTGACGAAAACGTTTGAAGGAGGAGGTGAGAACAGACTGACGAGGTTGGGCAAAGGGATGGTCCCTTAGGAATAACAAGGTCTATGTGGGGCTCATACTTGTGGTTTTGGGATCCGGGAGATATTTATGAAGGGGACGCTGGGCTCCTGCCTCTGGTTCCTTGTGACTTTTGCTGTGCACCACTTACATTTCCCATCTCCCATTTTCTGTTGTACAGTGTACAATAGGAAGACAGGCCACATGATGCACACACACACACACACACACACACACACACACACACACACGGCCGGGTTCCTGAGTGTAAGGATCAAACGCAGAATCAGGGAATCAAAGGTCTCTGTCCCTCAGGTTTTCTGCAAAGCTCCTGGTCATCTTTGCCCTGGTCAATATTTTTGACAATTATTAATCTTCGTGTCATCGTCTTCTTCTGAGAGACAGGAACAAAATGCCTGACCGATCTCATTTTACCCAAATTGTGAATTCCCTTAAGACATGCCCAAGTCTTAGTCTGTTGTAAGGGGGGAAGGGAACTTAATCTTTCATGTGATCTCTTCATTCATATCCATAATGCATTGTATTTGGCCAAGTCTTTTTGTTTGTTTGTTTGTTTGTTTGTTTTTATGTCCTAACTGAGGGACTTTGGCTAAGCATCTTAACAGGTAAAAAGATGAGTGATTACCTCTCCTTGTTGGTGCTGGTGTTTGGTCAGTGTCTCAGCTGTAGCCCAGCCTGGCCTGTGACGTGCTGTGTAGCAGAGGCTGGTCTAACTCTTTATCCTCCTGCTTCCACCTCCTGAGTACAGGGATTGGAGGTGTGTGCCACCATGCCTGGCGAGTAATTTATCTTGAATGCTTATTATTAATTGCTGAGGGAGACACATAGAGATAAAAATAGCAGATAGCTTTTTTTAAAAAAAGTTCTTTGTCATACAACAGGAAGGATACTGTCCTCTGATTGCATGTTTTAAGGTTTTTCCCAAGGTCTAGAATAGTGTCTTAGTTTTTACTGGGGAAAGCGGGGAAAGTTTTGTTCGTTAAGGAGTGGGTTTCAGAGTGAACTATAGAGTGGGGAACGTTCAGCCTCATCAAAGGTTAAGAATGCGGTGCCAAGCTAGAGCGAGACCCTGTCTGCAGAGAGCAAGCTGAGTGTGGTATGGTGATGTGGAGAAATGGCTATCAGGTTCACCGTTGATCCATAGAATTAATTCCCAGCGCCCTGGAGACAGAGGCAGGCAGGTCTCTGTGAGTTCCAGGCCAGCCACGGCTGCATGCTCTAGCTTGTGGGGTGGCTCCTCTATTTGGTGATCTGGGGAAGACACACGCCTCACGGTTCTTCTCCTTCTACAGCTCTGCTACCCCGTGATGCGGACGGGACCCAACCAGAAAGTTTAACTGATGGAATGGTCCCCAGCGCCCTTGCGGCGGACTCCCAGGTGTGTTGGAGTTTCCTCCCATTTTCCTGACATTCCTTCTTTGTTTTTTTGTTAGTTCGTTTGTTTTTGGTTTTGTTCTTTCTTTATTTTTTTATTTCAAAAAAGTTTATTTACTTTACATCCCAAGGGTGCCCCCTCCCCCTCTCCATTTACCCCCAGAAAAGGAGAGATCCCCCATACCAGTCCTTTCCAGCACATCAAGTCACATCAGGACTGAGCATTTCCTCATCCCCTGAGGCCAGGTGAGGCAGCCCTGCCAGGGGGAAGCGATCCAAAAAACAGGCAATGGAGTCCATGTTGGAAACAGCCCTTCCTTTCCACTTGCCAGGTGACCACATGAAGACCAATCTACCCACCAGCCACATATGTGCAGGGGCCCTTCTTAGTTCTTAAGGATGTGAACTGCCTTTTTATTTACTTATTTATTTTTTGAGAAGCGGAAGTAGGTTGAGACCAATAATTCAATCTGGGGAGGTCCAGACAAGTTACTTACATATAAAAACCTAGGCTCCTGCGGTGGCAGTTTTCATTTTTTATAAAGTGGCTTCATCCGGAATGAACATTGTCCCGATTTGAGGGTAGAAAGCAAAGACGGTGGTTCTACCTGGCTCCAAAGCAACAGGTTCACTTGGCATCTAAGTTAGACGTGTGTAAAGTAAGGACTTGGGGAGGAGGCTCAACAGATAAGAGTGTTTGCCGCACAGTGGTGAAGACTAGAGTTCAGGCCCCAGCCTCAGCATAACAGACTGGATGTGCATGTAGCCCCAGTGCTGGGGGGGGAGTTGCTGGTTGCCGGCCTCGCTGAAGAAGCACGGGTTCAGAGAGAGACCCTGCCTCGACAGAACAAGGTGGACAGTGACACAGGAGCTCACCTAACGCCCTCCTTAGGGTCTGCACCTGTGTAATCACAGGCGTGTACGCCTGCACGCGTGTACATTTATTACACACACACACACACACACACACATTTCATATGTGACAGATTAGAAAAGCAGATTCTGCCAGGCATGGCAGCACATGCTTTTAATCCCAACGAGGCCAGCCTGATCTACACAGTGAGTTCCGGGTTAGCCAGGACTACACAGAGAAACCCTGTCATTCCCCCCCCCCAAAAAAAAAAAAGCCATTTCTAACAAAAATGACCATCAAAATGTGTAAGTGAGAATTAAATTCCAGGGATGCCAACATCCATGTTGGGCACCTCAAAATTGCCTGTAAGCTGGGCATGATTGTACACACTTTTAATCCCAGCAGGTAGGAGGTAGAGGCAGTCAGATTTCATGAGTTCAGAGCCAGCCTAGTCTACAGAGTGAGTTCTGGAACAGCCAGGAATACACAGAGAAACCTTGCCTTGAAAAACAAAAAGCTGTCTGCAGCTGTCTCCAGGAGATCCAACACTCCCTCCCGCCTCTGTGGTCGCCTGCGTGCGTGTGTACATTCCTCCCACCCCCACATGTCTGTACACACACAATTAAAATAAATATTTTTATTTAAGAAAGTTTGTTGAAAATGTGAGATGCAAAATCCAGTGTTTCGGGGCCTGTTTTGTCTTGTTTAGTAGTCCAGAGCAATTTTAAAAAGTGAGTTCTTTCTAACTTCAATCTCTTCGGCTAAGCAGCTTAACTGCTTGTTATCTTTGTTCTAGGATTGAAAGTCATGTGCGCTTAGTTATGGTACCACAAAAGGAGCAAAGCCAAGAGCAGTCCAGTTGCCTAGCTTGTTTTCATAATTCACATACTTGGAATCTCTTCTTTACGTTTATCAAAAATTGGATTCTTGGTGGGCCCACAAGATGGCTTATCAAGTAAAGGGGCTTGGCTCAACGCCTGATAATCTGAGTTCGGTTCCCCAGATCCTCAAGGTGGAAGGAGAGCACCGACTTCCGCAAGGCGTCTTCTGATCTCCAAGGCATTTTGTGGCCCTCCCCTAATGCATAAATAATAAGTGTAATGAAAAATTTAAAGCCCAGCTTCTCGGTACCAGGAAAGGATTGCATTTCTATTGAAGTATCTGAAGTACAGGTGACCGGTAAGGAAATACAGGCGTGTGATTCAGGTGGGTGCCCTGGCACACACCTATAACCTCAGTACTTCGGACTAGTCTCAGAGGCTGAGATCCACAGCGCCCTGGCCCAGGGTTAAATCAACAGTAACAGTTGCTGGAAAGAAGTGACGGACCAACCAAGTGATGTAGAGAAGGGCAGGCACGCAGCATTTGTGAGTTTCCGCTGAGGTTGTGAGGAGATCGCCGATTTTATGGCTGATCTTGAGTCACTCCTGTTATTGTAAGTGGCCTGGATAAATTCTCTGGTTTACTTGGTGTAGTTCATGCCCTATCTGGAGTCAGTAGATCCTGTTTCCAATCTCTGCCGGAAGTCACCCAACAGGGAGCGTCCTCGACAGATTTTGTTCCCCCCTTCACTCCATCTGTGCTTAAAGTCTAGCAATGTGGCCTTGCCTACAGTCTACTTTGATCTAACTTGGCTCTCTGGTTTTTCCATTACTGTTTTCACAGAGCCATTTTCCCATCTGTCTTTTTTTTTTTTTTTAAAGATTTATTTATTTTATGTATATGAGTATTTTATCTGCATTTACATCTGCCAGAAGAGGGAATCAGTTCACATTATAGATGGTTGTGAGCCACCATGCGGTTGCTGGGAATTGAACTCATGACCTTTGGAAGAGCAGACAGTGCTCTTAACCACTGAGACATCTCTCCCCCCCATCTGTCTATTTAAAGTCTCTGTCTATAGTGCGACTTACACAGCTGGCCTTGCTTACACAGGTGGTCATTGAATGGTTGCTTCTGTGTGTATTTTATTCTTTGTCCTATTTGTATTTGTTACTTTGTTCTTCTAGTAGCTTCTTTTGGATTGAATACTTTTTCAGTGTTCCATTTTTGTCTTCTGATGATTTCTGGCTACTATGTAAAAGTCCCATGTGATGAATTCTTGTCAACCCAGTTACCCTGACCTTGTCTGCATCAGCCCTGTTGACCTTTAGTGACATTTGCTGCTCTTGCAAAGACCTGGGTTGTGCCTAGCATCCACAAGGTTACTCATAATTGTCCATAACTCCAGTTCCCTAGGATCCATTGCCCTATTCTAACATGCGTGGTGCACACACATACATGTAGACAAAAGGCTCATACATGTAAATAAATCTTAAAACAAAAACAAACAACAGACAACAACAACAAAAACGAAGCGGGTGGTGGCAGCTCATGCCTTTAATTCCAGCACTTGGGAGGCAGGAAGACCTCTTCAGTTGGAGGCCAGCCTAATCTACAGAGTTCCAGGACAGCCAGGGCTACACAGAGAAACCCTGTCTTGAACTGCATCCCTCCCTCAAAAAGGAGTTCCATCTGAGCATAATCGGAAGGTCTATCATCAAGAAAAGACTCAACAAATGTTGGTGAGGATGTAGGAGAAAGGAATGACGTCCTCTGTGGGATTGTAAATGAATACAGCCATTATGGAAGTCAGCATGGAGGTTTCTCAAATAAGACTTCCATATGACTCCATTTTACCACGCCTGGCACATACCCAAAGGGTCTGTATCCTACCACAGAGACAGCTGCACATCCGTGTACATTGCTGTACTGTTCACATAGCAAGAAAAGGAAACCAGCCTAGATGCCCCATCAGCAGGTGAAGGGACAGTGCAGATGTGGTACACGCACGATGGAACTTCATTAAGCTGTAAAAAAAAAAAAAAAAAAAAAAAAGGCATGACAGGAAAATGGATGGATCTAGGAATTGCACCCAGACTCAGAAAGATAAATACTTGTATTGCTCTTACGATGTCTACACATCTGTGTATAGATGGGGTAAGTGTGGAAAGACAGACGGAAAGCATGAGAGGGAAGAAGACCCGTTCAAGTGGGAGAGACCAGTGAGAAAGGTGACATGAGAGTAGGAAGGAGGCTGTGGGTGAGCAGAAGGGACAGGTGGGCTTCAGGGGCCTGAGGGAGAAGAAGGTTGGAGAATCAGCAAAAACAAATATTGTTTTAAGGTGACACAGTGATGGGCTGGAGAGATGGCTCAGAGGTTAAGAGCACTGGCTGCTCTCCTGAAGGTCCTGAGTTCAATTCCCAGCAACCACATAGTGGCTCACAACCATCAAAGATGAGATCTGGTGCCCTCTTCTGGCCTGCACGTGTATATGCATGTAGAACACTGTATACATAATAAATAAATAAGCAAATAAATCTTTTAAAAAGATGCCACAGTGATACCTAATTCATGTATGCTAATTAAAACTTTTCTCTAGAAACGTAAAAGGATGCCTGGGTATTAGGGACAGTTATTGCGAATGCAGAAGCACCTCCTTCCACACCCCGCTCGACTCTGCTCCCATCTCTTCCCGTTTGCCCTTGCCCCAGAGCTGCTTCTATCCATGCTGCTCTTGCTCCTCAGACGGATGTCCACCCTGAGGCCTTTTGGGCCATTCTAGAATGCTCTCCCCTCAGACTTCCACACAGCTCTTCCCCACCGAATCAGTACCTCTAGCCAAACAGTGCCTTTCAGAGAACACTGCTTTCCACGGCACCTTAGAGACAAGCTCGCCTCGACTCTCCCTGGCTTTCTCACTTCTTCGTACCTTTTTTCCTGTCCTATGTATTTAATTATTTATAGCAGTCTCTAGACAACCAACAAAGACACCCAGGGGCTGCTTCTGGGAAAATTGGTGTGGAGTCTCTGAACTTGGAATGCTGCCCGAGCTCCTGAGTCTTTTCCTGGGGGGGGGGGGGGGGCTCTGACTCCTCTGGCTGTTTGATATTGTAGGAATCACTGACTTTCAAGGACATAGCTGTGGACTTATCCCAGGAGGAGTGGGGACAACTGGCTCCTGCCTACCGGGAGTTGTATCGGGAGGTGACGCTGGAGAACTACAGGAACCTGGTGTCAGTTGGTAAGGACCAGCCAGCCGTTCTCATGGCATTTGTGTTGCTGTGATAAAATTTTCCTACAAAAAAAGCAGCTTAAGGAGGAGAAGGCTTATTTGGCTCATAATTTTGGGGACGTTGAGGCTAGGACTTAAGCATCAGATCATCAGTAAAGAGCAAAGACTAGAATACATCCTTGTTTGCTTGCTTGCCCTCAGCTAGCTTTCTCTGCTCTAATGTAGTCCAAAGCCTCACACTAGGGAATGGTACCACCCACAATGCACTGGGATCTTTGCACTGGGATCTTTTCCCGTCAATTAAGACAGCCTCCCATACCAACTTGATCTAGACAGTTCTTCAATTTAGAATTGTCTCAGGTTATTCAAGGTCGTGTCGAGTTGACAATTAAAAATTAACCATCACACTGGCTGTCCCCTACAAACCTGCTTGCTGTAAGAGGGCCATAGTTGCTAAACTCTTTAAAAAAAAAATTTTTTTTTTTATTTATTTTATGTATATGAGTGATCTATCTGTATGCCAGAAGAGGGCGTCAGATTCCAGTATAAATGGTTGTGAGCCACCATGTAGTTGCCAGGAATTGAACTCAGGACCTCTGGAAGAGCAGACAGTGCTCTTAACTGCTGAGCCATTTCTCCAGCCCCATTGCTAAACTTTTGATGTCATGGGTCTGTTGGGTTTTGGCTATGGGTTTTGTATTAAGGATGTCTTGTTCCTTTGAAGCCAGGGCATAACAGGTGACTTCCTTAAGGAACAGCTTTATTTCGTAGAGCTAGAAAAGAAGGATGTGGCTTTGTTGGTTATCAGAAACCGGGTATACTGAAAGCTGGAATTACACTCTGGGGTGGTTCTAAAACAGCAGCTTCAACAGTCACAATTTTTCTTTAACTCCATAAGCAGGATGTCAACTTTCCAAGCCTAGTGTGATTTCCCAGTTGGAGAAAGGAGAAGGACCATGGATGGCAGAGAGTCGAGGCCCAGAGGATCCCATTTTAGGTGAGACCAGGGTAGAGGAGCCCTTTGGGTAGGTAGACCAGAGGGCTCGGGGTCTTCCCGGGCTATGGGGAAGGCTCAGGACACTGACGGAACTGGTATAGCTCTCCTTTCCTCCCCTCCCCATTGCGCCTCTCCTTCCCAAGCCTTTGTCAGAGTCTCTGCAATTAGAAGGGAGAGAAGTCTTGCCCTCAGAGTTAAACTGATTTCCTCACAGAACCAGACCTTCAGTTGATGTGAAATGCCTCATAGATATTTGCTGTCTTCTACGACAGGTCTTTTTTTTTTTTTTCAGTGTCACGTTACAGTCTACAAATCTTTTTTTTTGCTTTCTATTTCTCCTTTTCTCACTATGATTTTATAATCCAACTTCAGTTTTCAGAGTATTGTGGGTACAGGCCAGAACTATCACACTCTCGTTGATTTCTCCAAATTAATATTCACATTGATTTGAAGTAGTCAGACATTTTGCTTTACCCTGTTATAAACAGCAATTACATGTGCATCCTCCTGGGTTTTATCATCCACAACTGATACTGATGAGAATAATACAGTTCAGGGCAGAAAGCTGCCTGCAGACACCAGATCACAAAACAAGCAACAAACTTTTATTCATTGTTTTAGGCATTTTGAAACAAGATATTACTCTGTAGCCCACACTGGCTACAGAGAACAATGAAAGCTGCACTGAGTGGTTTTTGTTTGTTTGTTTGTTTTTAACCTGTTTCTCCATGGAGTCTTAAAAGTAACTTTGTAGAAGGTTGTTAAAAAGCAGCATCAGCCAGCCACTGTGGTACTAACTGCAGTTCTAGAGGGAGGGGCAGGAGGATTAGGACCTCAAGGTCATGCTCGCCTCTGTAGGAGGAGTGGGGCTAGCCTGGACTACTTGAAACTGAAACAGATAACAAGTATCTATTTAATTCAGTGAAATAACAAAATTCCAATTTCAAAGTTCAATCTTGCTTTATTCTCTTCCTTAGTTTTGGAGTGGGGTACACAGATGGTCCCTTCCCATCATCCCCCACTCCTCTCCAGGGTCAGAGCCAAGACCCGCTTAAGTTAGACTTCATTGTTGTCTCTGTTTAGAGCTTGAAGTTTGAAAATGCTTAAGATCCTGCTACTGATTGAAAACTCTTACAGGAAATTATTCCTTCCATGAATACAAACCTGTCACCTGAAATATTAGTTAGTAATAGTGTAATGAATTACTAAGTAAAAAAAGCTACTCATGTTGTGGCACAGGCCTGTAATCCCTGCACTCAGGGAGGCAGAGGCCAGCCTGGTGTACAAAGTGAGTCCAGGGCAGCCAAGGCTACACAAAGAAACCCTGTCTCAAAAAGCAAGCAAACAAACAAAACAAAAACAAGAAAATAGTCAGAATTTTTTAAAAAAAATTATTTTGTTTTTTGACATTCATGCATCATATACATTCAGATTATTATATTAATAATCTAATCTCCTTCCTACCTTTATTTTGAGTCTCAAAAAAAATTAAATAGATAAAAATTAAAAGCCAAAAATCAAGTCAGAGTTTTAAAGGACATTATCTCAGACATAGTAGCAGCATCCATTTTGGGTTTCTTACAAGTTCCCTTTTCATAAATGATATTTCATGGATATATTAAGAGCTATAGGGAACATAACTAAACCCAAGAACATGGTAATTACTACTTTTAACTAATGGTAGTATGACGTTCTTGTGAGTGCTCTTATTTAAGATCCCCTGTTCTGAACTAGTGGCTTTGTGCTTGGGGGATGACATCTTTTTAATTTGGGGGCGATTACTTTTCAAAAGTAGTTGTCAATTTAAAGCCATATCCTTGAAGGCATAGGTCTTCAGTGTCATTCTTTAGTGTCATTAGAACACAGCTAAACCGTGTGTGGGACACACAGTTAGCATTTGAAAGGTAGAGGCCAGAGAGCAGGTACTTTAGCCATATGAGACCCTGTCTTAAAAAAGGGAGAGACAGTGACTAAGAGAGAATTGAATGTTGCAAATTTTACAACATATAAAGTCAGATGCAGCTGGGCACCTGTAATCCCAGCACTTAGGGAGGCAGAGGCAGGCAGATCTCTGTGAGTTCAAGGCTGGCCTGGTCTACAAAGTGAGTCCAGGACAGCCAGGACTACACAGAGAAACCCTGTCTTGAAAAATCAAGAAAGGAAGGAAGAAAAAGAAAGAAAGATGAATAAAATCAGATGCAAGTAACCTAGGAACTGTTTCTTTGCATTTTGTTGTTTCTTTTTGAGATAGAGTCTCAAGTATCTTAAGTTGGTCTTGAACCTACTGTCTAGCCATTGATGACTTTGAACCCTCCACTTCGTGACTGATGGGTACAAGCATAGGCCATCCTGTCTAATTTGTGCCCAGGGTTTCGTGTAAGCTGGGCAAGCACTGGCGTTCTCTATTTCTTTTTATTTTTTAAAGATTTATTTATTTAATGTTGATGAGTACTCTTTCTGCATGTACACCTACACAGCAGAAGAGGGCATCAGATCCCAGTAAGAGATGGTTGGGAGCCACCATGTGGTTGCTGGGAATTGAACTCAGGACCTCTGGAAGAGCAGACAGTGCCCTTAACCACTGAGCCATCTCTCCAGCCCCTGTTTTCTATTTCTTAATTCACTTCTTACTGCAGTCAGCATAACTGTATCTAAATACAGTAAAAATCTCATGCTGCTTCCTGTACTGTTATCTAAATTTCTTCTGCAACATCAATTTGATTTTTTTTCAAACAAAGCATAATGAATTGAGTTTTTGTTTTGTTTTGTTCTGTGTTTTTTTTTTTTTTCTTCTTCTTCATTTCTTTCAGATGTGAAGAATAAACCAGAAGCCAAGGAATCAACGGCAGAGAATGACATTTCCCTCAAGTTCTGTCATGGCATCATGAGTGAAAGGCTCAGAAAGGGTGATGTAGTTTGTTCTACACTGAAAAAAGCCTCCAGCTATGATACAGGAGAAAGGCAGCGGGGAGCCCGCGGGAAAGGTGTGAGACAAGCCGTTTTGACCCACAAAAAGCGACACCAAGAAGGGAACAAACTGGGGGGAAACCTCCAGGGTTCCAACGTTATTTTAGAACAGAAGCCCCAGAGCTACAGCCCAGCCAGGAGGAGGAACAAATCTAAATCCGATTCGGTCAGCCGTCCGATGAGCTGCGTAAGGGCCCGGATGTATGGCTGCAGTGTGTGTGCAAAGATGTTCAAACAGCCCGTCCACCTCGCTGAGCACGTGAGGGTCCACACGGGCGAGAAGCCGTTCCGGTGTGAGCAGTGCGGCCGGGCCTTCAGCCAGAGCGCCTCCCTGAGCACGCACCGGAGGATCCACACGGGCGAGAAGCCCTTCCGGTGCGAGGCGTGCGGCCGGGCCTTCCGGCACCGCTCCTCGCTCAGCCAGCACCGCCGCACCCACACCGGGGAGCGGCCCTTCGCGTGCGACCGCTGCCCCAAGGCCTTCAGCCAGAACGTCAGCCTGAGCCAGCACCTGAGGACGCACTCCGGAGAGAAGCCCTTCGGCTGCCGCGAGTGTGGGAAGGCCTTCCGGCAGGTCCGCCACCTCAGCGAGCACGCGCGGATCCACACGGGCGAGAAGCCCTACGCGTGCCCCGCCTGCTGCAAAACCTTCAGCCACAGGGCCTACCTCACACACCACCAGCGAACCCACACCGGGGAGCGGCCCTACGCCTGCGCCGAGTGCGGGAAAGCCTTCAGGCAGAGGATCCACCTCAGCAACCATCAAACGGTCCACACGGGCGTGAGGGCCTACGAGTGCGGCCGCTGCGGGAAGGCCTACCGGCACGACTCCTCCTTTAAGAAACACCAGAGGCGGCACAGCGGGGAGAAGCCTTACGAGTGCAGCGAGTGCGGGAAGTCCTTCAGCTACAACTCGTCCCTGAGCCGCCACCATAAAATACACAGGAGGAACGCTTGCCGAGACACCGGACGTGAGGACGAAAGGCAGCTCCAAACTGGCGACTGACTCAGAGCTTTAAAATTTCAGGACCCAAACAAACTTGAGAAATTGATAACAGCGACAGCGGCAACTCTCGACTTTGCCAATAGCGTAAATAAACACTCCTTTGATTACTACGGCCTGACACTCATGTGCAGTGATAAATTTGGCATTAAAAAAAAATCAGTTATTTTTTTATTATTTCATGATAAATTAATAAATTATACCTTTATGGACTCGCTGATTTGCAGACTGGTGTTTGGGAACTGCTGTTTGAAATGTTACCCCTGGTCTGGGGAGGTGGCTCCGCAGATAAGGCACGATCCGCTGAGCATTGTAATTACCTAATCTGGATCTTACCCATGTGGTAAGAGAGAATTGGCCCCAAAAGCTGTCCTCTGGTCTCTATGGGTGCACACACGCAGCCTGTTTAATTTTAAAATATTATCCATGTCTCTTATTCGAGTCACAGTTTTGAGAATCTTTTCTCCAATCTTATGCCAGCTTTCTAAATACCTGTGCTCTTTTTTTTTTTTTTTTTTTCTGAGACAGGGTTTCTCTGTGTAGCCTTAGCTGTCCTGTAACTCACTTTGTAGACCAGGCTGGCCTTGAACTCACAGAGATCTGCCTGCCTCTGCTTCCTGAGTGCTGGGACTAAAGGTGTGTGTCACCATCACCTGGCTACCTGTCTGTGCTCTTTTAAATAACTAATTTATTGATGTTCAACATTGAATTAAATCTAGGGTATTGTGCATGATTGGCAAAAGCCATCACTGAACAACATCCCAACTTTTAAGTGTTGACACTGGGCTAAGTTGTCTAGGCTGGCCCTGAACTCCTGATGCTTCTGTCTCAGCATTCTGAGTAGCTGAGATACAGGCTTATGCTGTAATTTGAGGCTCAGCTCAAACAGCTGCTGAGTATAGCCAGGAGGTCTTTCGTTAGGTTTGCAGAGATGGCCAGACTTGACATTGCCACGTGAAATCCACACTTGAGAACCCTGTAACTGGGGCTAAAGAGATGGCGCAACCATTAGAAGACTATACTGCTCACCCAGCACTCGCCTCCAGCCACTCAAATTCACACTCAAGAACCCTGAATGTGGAGCTGGAGAAATGTCTCACCATTAAGAACATATACTGCTCTTGCAGGGGACTCAGGTTTGGCTCCCACACTCACCTTAGGCTGCTCACAACTGCATGTTACCTCCAGGACCAAGGGCATCCAATACCTCTAGCCTTTGTAAGTACTACACATAAATTCACAAACCCAAATCCAGAGGTGTGTGCAGGCATGTACACACACAGGTAATTTTTAAAAGCTTAATCTCAGAGTAACTACAATCTTGTATCAGGCTCAATTCATAAGTATCCTTGAGTCAATGCAACCCCTAAATTGCAAAATGGAGACTGTTGAAGATCATCTAGCTAACTATATAATATCTGAATTGTTTGTTTCTAGCTATTTATTTACCTGTTCAACCTAGGAAACATTTTTGTAATTAACTAAACTAGTATCTAACATAACCACGAGTTTAATTGTCTGACTTGCTAATTTGCAGGTCTTATCCTAAACAGTTCGTTCGTAATAGCAGCTTTCCAAAGAACTAGAACTAAACATTGCATTTTAAAGATTTACATAGATATAAAACATTAGCATATGCCCTGGTGCCCTCTTCTGGCATGTAGGCAGAATACTGTATAAATAATAAATATTAAAAGGGAGAAAAAAAGAAAGGAAGCTAGGTGTGTGGTGGCACACACCTTTAATCCCAGTGCAGATGCAGGAAGGGAATTGAGTCCAGCCTGGTCTACAAAGCAAGGACAGCCAGAGCTATTACACAGAGAACTCCTTTCTCAAAACCCAATAAAAAAATAAATAAATATGAAGAAAGTTAGTTATAACATTTGCTGTCCAGTCTCTGCACGCTGACTGGAACAGTCTGTGATGCTGGACAATCTAGCTAGCTGTTTTAAAAATGTCCCAGATGAACCTGCCACAGAGGGCCTCTGAAAGGCTCTGCCCTGCAGACTATCAAAGAAGTTGAGACTTTATGACCAACTGTTGGGCAGAGTGCATGGAATCTTATGTAAGAAGTGGGAAATAGTAAGATCTGGAGAGGACAGGAACCCCACAAGGAGAGCAACAGAATTGGAAGATTTGAACACAGGGGTCTTCCCAGAGACCCATACTCCAGCCAAGTACCAGGCATGGAGATAACCTAGAACCCCTGTGCAGATATAATCCATGGCAATTTAGTGTCTAAGTGGGTTTCATAGTAATGGGAAGAGGGACTGCCTCTGACACAATCTGATAGGCCTGCTCTTTGATCACTCCCCCTGAGGGGAGAGCAGTCTTACCAGGCCACAGAAGATGACAATTCAGCCACTCCTGATGTGATCTGATAGACTAAGATCAGAAGGAAGGAGAGGAGGACTTCCCCTATCAGTGGACTTGGGGAGGGGCATGCATGAAGAAGGGGTAGGGAGAGTGGGACTGGGAGGGGAGGAGGGAGGGGCTTATGGGGGGGATACAAAGTGAATAAAGTGTAAATAATAATAATAATAAAACTAAAAAAAAATGTCCCAGATGAGGCCATCTTGAGGTAAGATCACCTGGGATACTTTTGCTTGTTTGTTTGTTTGTTTCTGGTCCTCTTACTCTGCAAACATACAAACTTCTGAAGGTATTATACATTTCTGCTTAATACATGTATGGAACGTGCAGTGAGCACAGTTGAAGATGATTCTCTGTTCTTTAATCAGGTAAGGCATTTGTTTTTCTTTAGAAGTGAGTTTGGACTGTATAATCAAACTGTAATATGAATTTTTATCTGTATCTATACCATTAAAAAAAAAAAAAAGGCATGATGGAGGCTGAGATGGCTCAGCAGTTAAGAGCACTGACTGTTCTTCCAGAGGTCCTGAGTTCAGTTCCCAGCAACCACATGGTGGCTCACAACCATCTGTAATGAGATCTGGTGCTCTTTTCTAGTGTGAAGGCACACATGCAGGCAAAATATTGTATAAATAATAAGTAAATCTTAAAAAAATAAAAGAAGCATGATAAGTCCTGAAGATTTTGTAGCCCAAAATTTATTAGCCATGCATAGTTGAAGTCCTGGCTGGAGACATTTTCTTTTCTTTTTTTTGGTTTGTTGAAACAGGGTTACTCTGTGTATCCTTGGCTATCTTGGACTCACTTTGTGAACCAGGCTGGCCTCAAACTCACAGAGGTCAACCTGCCTCTGCCTCCCCAAGTGCTGAGATTATAGATGTGTGTCACCACACCCTGCTAGCTGGAGACGTTCTCATGTCTCAGCCTGTCTCAGAGGTGCTCCCATGTAGACAGTTCAACAGATTATGTTATCTCTCCTGTTTAGTCTTCTGGAGTTATTTCCTTCTATCTTCAGCCAAGATCTTCAGGAGGTCACCTCCCCTGTCAAATCTGATTTTTATCCACTTGGATGGAATCCATAGTTTTTCTTCTCTTGTAGAAACAAATGCAAAACATCTTCTCCAACATCACACATTTCCTGCTTTCCATTCTGAAGTTAGGACATCCTTAAAATAGGGTTTTTTTTAATGCCTTTTATTTTAATATAGGACGTTTTAATTCAGAAGTTTTTTTCCTCCATAATTCAATGTCTCTCAGCAGCTGTTGTTTTGTTTTGTTTTGTCATTAGCATCCAAAAAATTAGAAGTTAATAAAGCACTATGCAATCTATCTCTGGGGGTCTTTGTTACCCCTTTTTGTTTGTTAGGCCTCTCTTTTAATGTATGATTAGATCTCTCTACAACTGCTTGTCCTGTAGGATTGTGTGGTATACCTATAATATACTTTATATTATAATACACGAAATTTTGCTTCATTTTACTAGAGACATATGCTGGAGCATTGTCAGTCTTAATTTGTACAGTTATCCCATAATAGCCATAGCTTCTAAAGAATGTACAGTTACAGAATCAGCTCTTTCAGAACTTAAAGCAGTTGCCCATTGGAATTCTGAACACAAACCTATGGCATGGTACATATACTTCAGTTCTCCAAACTCTGCAAAATGGAGCACACAAGCCATTGTATGACATTGTTCCAAAGAAACACCAAACAGGATCTGCATTTCTAAATTAGCAAACAGACCTTCATCCAGTACTTGAACCTTGACACATACAATATCCAGTCTGACCATGTTGTCCTATAGCCAAAGCCTTTCTACCCAGGATCTCAATGGACGGCCATTCTGCAAGTTCCTCAGGTCTTTGTGGACTTTTCTCATCCTTAACTACCTCTTTCAGTGTTATTGTCAGTTCCAGGTTGGATTTCTCTGAAGGTTCCTTATTTTGATTCAAAGATTCCTCCAACCCCTGTTCTATGGCCTTTAGTTTAACATCTAATTTCTCAGTCTCTTCTTTATTCAAGCCTGCCTTATTCTAATGTCTCCCAAAGAGGATATACAAAACTATAATTATCACTGAAAAATTATTTGTATGCTGATAAGCTAAGCAAAATTAAATGGAATCCAGATGCACAGTGTCATTCTGTCCTCCATTTTCAACCTACAAAATAATCTTTAACTTCAGAACCTCTCCCTACGGACTTTACTTTCTTATTTATTTATTTATTTATTTACTTACTTATTTATTTTGGTTTCTTGAGACAGGGTTTCTCTGTGTAGCCCTAGCTGTCCTGGACTCACACTGTAGACCTGGCTGGCCCGAAACTCACAGAGATTTGACAGTCTCTGCTTCCTGTGTGCTGGGATTTAATCCACCCACCACCACACCCACACCCGGCTGACTTTACTTTCTTATATTTAAACCAAACACTTACTACTTTTTTTATACCCAGCTTCCCTTCTCTTTTATTGTTTTCCAAACTTAATACTTTACCAATTCAGATGGTTGGCTTCTCAGTTTGTCTCTGGCTCCTGCCACACCCCTGTCCTGGATCCTGGCTCCTCCCCCACTCTGGGAAGTTATTGGGTCCATAGATCTTTGCTCCTCTGGCCAGAATGAGTCAGGCCAGCATGAACCCCTTCTCAAAAGTATTTAGCCTTCTGCCTTGGCTATAAAATTCTGTCCAGCTTTGGGAAGCTTGCCTGTATTGAATAGCCAGTTTTTTGTTGTTTTATTTTTGTTGTTTTGCTTTTTTTTTTTTTTTCTCAGCAGGGGTCTCTTAAAAGATCTGCTCCGCTTTGCCTATCGATCTGGTTTTTTCTGCTCTGTTTTCTTCTGCGGCTGGCTGTGGACCTTGCTGCACTTGTGGGCGGATGGGCCTAATCAAGGAATCATGAGCTCTTTCCAGGGAGGAAACTGTTCTGTACTCCTTATTGCTGAATCTCCACTTCCTCTCTCTCTCTCTCTCTCTCCCCTCCCTCTCCCCACCTCCCCCATGGATTGCAAGAAGTCCATCCCAGTTCTCTCCCCTGCTCAGCCACTGTCAGTTAGGCCTCTTTATTGACATATCAGGGAAGAATTGGGGAGCAATGTTTAGACAGGAGATTTTCAGGACAAGGACTGCAAACAGATCTGGGGGCACAGAAATCGGCATTTGAATCTTTACACAGCGAACAATAACATTATGCCTACAACTGCCTTTTAGCAGATTCTTTTCTGTGGCCATACACTTGGTCTCGTTGATCTTACTGACATTTTACACGTCTTCAGTTTCCATCTCCATCGTAGAAGTCTCTCTTGGGCTCCAAAATATGTTCAATGTGGATACTGATTATTCTATAATTGCTTCAAACTCAGCATGTTGGAAACCTTCACTATCTTTTCAGTAAAGCTTGCATTCCTTAACTCAGAAAGTTGCATAGCCAGGTGTGGTGGCGCACACCTTTAGTCCCAGCACAGGGAGGCAGAAGCAGGTGGATCACTGTGAGTTCGAGGCCAGCCTGCTCTACAAAGCAAGTCCAGGACAGCCAACAGCTACACAGAAAAACCCTGTCTCAAAAAAAAAAAAAAATCTATTAAAAAAAAGAAAAAAAGTTGCACCACCTTTGATCCAACTCTCCAGCTGAAACTTGTTCTTCTCACTCATTACCTCCCTCAATTAGTTGCAAAGTACTGTTCTAGGACAGCCTCAGTTTACCTTCTCTGCACGTCAGCCTTCATCAGATGCGTAGGCTTCCTAACCGCTTACGTTGTCGGCTGACGTTCCTCTAGCATGCTCTCAGGCTGTGGGAACCCTTTGCAGGCCGCATGTCAGATATCCTGTATAGCGGACATTTGCATTGCAATTCATAACAGCAGCAAAATCACAGTTGTGAAGCAGCAACAAAAGTAATTTTATGGTTGGGTGTCACTACACCATGACGAACTGTAGTACATGGTCGCAACATTAAGAAGGTGGAGAACTGTTCTGGCAAATCTACTACTCATCTCCATGCTTCATATGCAGATACAGCGACACTGTAAAACAGACACCCAATCAAACTACATTAGCGCTTAAAATCCCTCAGTTGTTTATGATTAAGTGAAGATAAAGGTCGTCTTCTTTAAGTGCAGAGCCATTGGCACTCTTCCCACCCACATCTACTTGGTTTTGTCATAAAGATTTTGAGGTTCCCAAATATCCAATCTTACTACTGGATTGTCTTGGGTCCGAACGCTGAGCTCTGGTGGCATTAGCAGGCTAGCTCGGCCACTCACCCTCAATATGCCCTTAAGGAAAGAAGCAGAGCAAGCGGAGGTATTCGATCCAGTTTGGAAAGAAAACAAACAGAAGTCTCCTGATACGCGGTTTAGGTTTAAACGGAGGGCAGGAGGGATGTCATAATAAGCTGCTCTGGTCCAGGGAGGGTCCTAACCATCCTCTCAGCTTGCGTCTCCTGCAGAGTGCTCTGACAAGTTGTGAGGACCATGCAAGTCCTCCTCTGAATGCTCCTGGACAAAGGAATGTCTCTGCGTCCACTGCTTCAACGGTGCCAAAGGGACGGGAACAAGCATCTCTCTTTTATCTTTGCCACGACTGAGAATGGTATTTCATGCGTTTCAGTACCCATTTGTGTAATTCCTTTTTTTTTTTTTTCCTGCCCAAGTTATTGTTTGGTATCTGTTCATCCTCTCACAGATCAGGGAATATTTAATTAAGTTTATAAAAATCTATGTTTCTGGCGAACCGTTGAATTCTTGACTCAATTTACAAAACAAACCTAACAGCCCAGGCTTCTGAACTTTAGATTCAGGTCTAAAATCCCAGTGCTGAGATTTTAGGTGTGGGACAGCATGGGCTGGGAAGTATTTCTCAAAACTAGAAACAAATGGGGCTGGAGAGGTGGTTCAGAGGGTAAGAGCAATTAGCAGCTCTTGCGGAGGCCCTGAGCTTGTTTCTGCGGACCCACATGGCTCTCTAAGGCCCTCTTCTGGCTTCTGACGGCACCAGGCAGGCAGGTAGCACAGACATACATGCAGGAAAAAACAAAACACTGTACACATAAAATAAAAGCAAACATTAAAAAGAAAGAGTCTGAATCTAGGGGCACAATGCCTGTAGTCCCAGTACCGCGAGAGCAGTAGCAGGAGTACCCCAGCTGAAGTTCAATAAGAAGGATGAAACAAAACAAAACAAAACAAAACAAAACAAAACAAAACAAAACAAAACAAAACCAAAGGTACTGACAACCGCCAGCGTCTCTGAATCTTGAGTTCGTAATTGTTCCGTTAGCTGGGAAAGCCAGGTGCTAAGATCTAGTTTCGGGGTCCGGGGGTGTCAGAGGCCAGCTGCATTGAGGTCAGCGAGGTGACCACCAAAACCTTCCTCACAGGGCACCCGGACGGTGACAGATAGACAGACCCTGGGCTAAAAGACACTAAGTCCAGCAACAGTCAGCCCCAGTCTCGCGAGAACCGGGGGCCGCCGGGGCGAGGGGATGCGGGCAGGGGCGGTCCTCGAACCGCCGCCAGGAATTCTGGGACTGGGGCGAAGGCCTTCGGGCGCACCCGTCCTGCCGAGTTCCCGTTATCCGAGCCCGGCACGATCCGAGAAGGCATCCTGCCTGGCACGTAGGCTCTGTACACTTGAGGGTGCGCGTGGCCCACCCGGGGGACAGGGGCTGCGTGGGGAGCGGTGAGTGGGAAGCACCCTCCTGCCCGCGGGGAAGCCTGTAACGAGCCAGGGCGCAGAGGATAAAGACCGAGGCGGGCAGCGAGGCGGGGCCCCCGGCCTCAGGCCGCCGCTGGGAACCTGGAAGGGCGGAACTGACAACCAAGTGCAGGGATTGGATCAGGAAGCCCCTTCCGGGACCTGGGAAGAAGAGGGAAGTTTGGAGACCTTGCCCTGGAGGGGCCGGTGTTAGGAGGATTTCTGGCCGTCCCTGCAGTGTGGCTCGAGTGGAAACACCACGATGTGAGGGAGGGGTCAGCTGAAAAGGGGACAGGAGTCTACATTCTATCATAGCAAGGCCCCAAGGGCCTGCTCATCTCCCCTCGCTTTGCCAATTTAATGTACGCCCTTCCCTGCAAGGGGGAGGGGGAGAACCGGCCAGCACAGGTGAGTACAGAATTCTCCTAAAGTTTATGTTTTTCGGAGCGAGCAAATACATAGCAGAGCCCTCATTTCCTCTGGAAGGGGAGGGAGAGCGCCATCTATTGTATGTTAGCTGAGGAGGCATAGAAGGATTAGCCTGCCAATTCTATTTTTAAAGACGTGCCAGCATCAGGAATTATTTTTAAAATGTGCCCAAGATTATTCAGGAAACAAGTAGCTTACCCAGCAAACTGTACTGGGATTTTTAAGATTCGATTCAGGACCCGTATCTGCAGGCCCCCTAGACTGTTGATATTTCTTGAACATCTCATTTTTTTTTCCCACCTAATAATTTTTAGCTGCACCTATGCACGTTTAAAACATTTGTTCATACATAAAATACTTTAAATATAGATATTTATATATCGTTAAGAAGTGAGAAGCCTGCCAGGTGGTGGGGATGCAGGCCTTTAACCCCAGTGGAGACAGGCAGATGAGCGAGTTCCAGGACAACCCAGGCTACACAGAGAAACCCTGTCTTGACCCCTCCCCCGCGCAAAAAGAAGTCAAAAGTCCAAAAAGAAAGTCTTATTAAATGAGGCATTTATTGGATGATGTCGTACCTTTATAATTAATCTATGGTATATCTGAAAACGCTGGTCCAGGCAAGTCATCGCGTGTCAACCCTGGATTTTGCATCACTCTCCTTTCTGAACTTTTTTTTTTTTTTTTTAGCAGCGTAAGAATGTCTTAAGCTAGTGCATTTGAGTCTAAATTGTACATCAGTGTGAACTTCTGTCGTCTTTTAAGTTAATGTGAAGCTCTTGTCTCAGTACACTGATTTTTGTATTTTCAATTGTTCTAATAGACCTTCATCGTAAGCTAATTTCTTACTGAAAGAGAAGAGAAAATTAATGGCAAGCACCAGTTTAATGGCTGACACAAATTTGTATAAAGAAAGTCATTTATAAGGTCATAAGAGTAATTTTTATGTGTGTATTTTTTGTTCTTGGTTTTTTGTTTTTGTTTTTTTTGCTATTGTTTTGGACCATGATTTAATGGAGCCCAGGGGGGACTCAAGCACAACTTGGCTTTGTAGTTGAGTATGACCTTGAACTCTGATTCCTCTTACCTCCATCTCCCGAGTACAGGGAAAACTTGAAATCAAGGCCAAGAAAAGTAAAATTTCTTATTAAAGTCATCTACAGTATGTTAGTGGCAGATCGACAAGTAAAACAAAATAGTTCTACGGTTAAAATTCTGCTGGGCTATGGTTATAGCTCAGTGGCAGACCACTTAAATTAACTTATGCAATGACCAGGATTCTCTCTCTAAAAGTGAAAACAAAAATAGACATGGATGAATGGATAAATACAAAGACTCGTTTTTTAAAGTGTACCTGTGTGTAACTCATTGACGTTACTAACTAGTCGTAAATAACTTGGCTTCTTAGGGCTAGAGATGTGGTACAGTACTTGCCTGGCACACAGACGACCTTGGATTCAGTTCCCACTGCTGAAATGAATGAATGAATGGGTCAGCCAGCACCAGGATTTTTTTTATCCCATAGGAATTTGCCAGTCTTTGACAGTGTTTGGTCTGTTATCTGTGTCCCTCCTTGTTCAGTCTAGCGCTGTACCATGGCCGAGGCTGGGGAAGAGGAGACAGCTTCAGCAGAAGCCTCGGGGTTCTCAGACTTGAGTGACTCCGAGTTGGTAGAGTGTCTGGACTTGGAAGATGCCAAAGCGTCGGCTGTTTCACTTAGCAAGCCTGGCTCTTCTGAGCTCCCTGGGAAGGACGACAAACCTGTAAGCCTGCAAACCTGGAAAGAAGGCTTGGATGTCCTGTCCCCCATGGAGAGATTCCACTTGAATTATTTATATGTCACTGACCTGTGTACCCAGAACTGGTGTGAATTGCAAATGGTGTATGGGAAGGAACTTCCTGGGTCGTTAGCACCTGAGAAGGCAGCTGTTTTGGACACTGGTGCTAGCATCCACCTTGCCAAAGAACTAGAACTTCATGACCTTGTAACCGTCCCCATCACCACCAGAGAAGATGCTTGGGCAGTTAAGTTTCTAAACATATTATCAATGATTCCCACCCTACAGTCAGAAGGGCGCGTCAGAGAGTTTCCAGTGTTTGGGGAGGTGGAGGGAATATTTCTTGTTGGAGTGATTGATGAGCTGCACTACACAGCCAAGGGGGAACTGGAACTGGCCGAACTCAAGACACGGAGGCGCCCTGTGCTCCCCCTGTCAGCGCAGAGAAAGAAAGACTGTTTTCAAGTCAGCCTCTACAAGTGTCTTTTTGACGCCATGGTACAAGGGAAGGTGACCCCTGCTAGCCTGGCCCACCACACTAAATTGTGTCCAGACAGGCCGCTGGGACCTGCCGTGCTCAGGCATGCCAGACAAGGGGGCGTCTCTGTCAAGTCTTTGGGTGACCTCACGGAACTGATCTTCTTATCTCTTACGCTGTCTGATCTCCCGGCTATTGATACCCTAAAACTTGAGTATGTCCATCAAGAGACCGCCACGGTATTGGGCACAGAGATTGTCGCCTTTGAAGAGAAAGAAGTGAAAAGCAGGGTGCAGCATTACGTGGCCTACTGGATGGGCCACCGAGATCCTCAAGGGGTTGATGTGGAAGAGGCATGGAAGTGTCGGTCCTGTGACTATGGAGACATCTGTGCGTGGGGGAGGGGCGGTGGAGTGCTCAGCTCTCCTTTGGAGCCCAAAACCAAGAAGTTGAAATGAATGAAAGGTCAGAAACGTTGATTGTTTCTGTTCTCAATATATCTAAAAGGACCAGTCTCTCAGCTTGACTTTCATGGGTGTTTTTTTATTTTTATGTCTACAACCTTTAATAACATTGCAACCCAGGCCCAAGGATCAGGAATGTATGGAGAGATGGGTTAGAGCGACCTTGGAGCTTTGAGATGAATCGCAAAAAAAGACATATCCATCATGTCTGCTGCAAAGGTATCTGTAACTAATCACTGTTTTCTCAAGGAAATTCTTTGGGTTCTGATAAATCTTTTCTTCTTGATGAAAAAAAATTATTTTTTTACATTTTCACAATAAACATGAAATGCTCTCTGGAACAGTTGAATTGATGTTTGTGTGTTTGCTGATCTCAGTCCTTTAAAGATGACCACTGTACTATACATAGTTCTATGGTATCAAGATCCTTTAACTTCCTGCGTAAGCATTTTAGAATTAGAGCTACAACAAGCAGACCACGAATTTAAAGTAAGCGTAATAAATATCGTCAGAGAGATAATGCTAGACGTCATCCTAAGTCAAAATTGTTAGATGAAAAATATCTATGAAATTACAGTATTCACACGTACAATCCAGCAATTCCACTCCTGGCCATCTGCCAAGATAAAGTCGTATGTGTGCAATGAGAAATATGAAAAAAATACACATTCACAAATAACAGAAACCTGAAATCTATCCGGATGCGCATCGTCAGGTGAATGAAATAGTCTAACAACCATTACGGTTTGGCTCCAGATAAATTCAAACTACATGGTCCCCATGGCGAAGACCTAGATTTCCTAGCCCGCACCCGATAGGAAAATGGTGTAAATGTAAGCTTTGTTTCCTGGGAACGCACACCCTCCTTCCTGTCAGCTGGCTGCGAGTTCTTGAATGCCTAGGTGTGAGGAAATAACTTGCTTCACCTGGGATCGGCCTCAGCAGCTGTCTTTTAGAAGCAGCTCTTTCTCCTAGGTGCTTTGGAGTCCATTTGTCTACTTAAATGGGACTCATTTCAGTGTACCAGAAAGCAGAGGAACCCCTCAAATGTCAACAAAGAAGCCAGAGACACAAGCTGGATATCTATCACCAGGAAATTAAGGGCACGGTGGAGACACTGTTGGAAAACGGTTAATGGATGGGAGGGAGGGGATTGATTTAATTCCTCATTACCTACATAGTGGAAAGGGAACCAATGTCCTCTGATCACGTACACTAGATGGATGTAATAATAATAGAAGATCAACCATTACAGTCGTAGATAAAGTAGGTCACCTTGGGGTTAGGGAGATGGTTTATTTGGTCAAGTGCTGTTGGATGAGCAGGGGACCCTGACTTCGATCCCTAGGACTCATTTCAAAGCGGTGGGCAGGAGACAGTTCGCGCCCCCTCCTTTAATGATTGCCCGCTATCATGACTTGTGGCTTGATGGGGGAGTGGAACGGGGTGTCAGAGACCTCAGGTGGCGGGTGACCATGAGAAACGGACTTCTTGGGAGGCGGGCTTCCTTGAGCAGCCCATTTAATTGGAGGGAGCAAAGGCTTCTTAAACCTCTGGGGAGTGGGTAAGAGGGTAGGCGGGCCCTGGAGGGAGGGTACCTCATTGGCTGGGGCTAAGGTGCTGGGAATACCTTATTTGCATGAAGAGGAATAACAGGTGCATGCTGGAAATGACCTAAGGAAAAGGGAAGTTTGGCCTGTAACCTGGCCACCAGGCTCCCTGACCTCCTCAAGGGTGGCGGAGGTGAGGACTGAAAGGTTAGGTGACACGCAGGCCCAGGGCGGGGAGGGAGGAGCACTGCATCTGCGGTCACAGGACAAGATGTTCGGGTTTTGGACATGGCCTGGACCTCACTCTTGCTCCAGGTTGGCTTCCCCATTCACAGGGCTCCCCATCACACAGCCTCCCCAGCCCCACAAAGGCCGATCCCTGAAGCTCACTAGTCAGTCTAGCTGAAATGGCAAGTTCCGGGTTCAGCAGGAGACCCCATCTCAAAACGTAAAATGGAGAGCAGTAGAGGAAGACACCTGATATTTAACCTCTGGCCTCTACACATATCTGCCCATATGTGTGTGTGCCACATGGACACACGTGTACAAAGTGAAATAAATTACCTCTAGAGACCCTTTTGAGCTGTACACGAGCACACACATTCAACCTGGAGACCGGAAAAGCAGTGCTAACTCTTCCCACCTACTGAGTAACACCAAAGTGCTAGGCATTGTGCTAAACTCCAGTATCAGTCATCCACAGCGCAGACCCTGAGGCTCCTCCCGAGCTCCTGGGGTTTGTAAGTAGTGGGTTATGCCCCACAGAAGACAATGCTTTTGTTCTGAAACATGCCCCAGGTTTTCTTCCTGTGACTCAGTCTTTGGGGCTGTTTAGATTATGATACCGGAAGTGTTTCACATTTCTGATCCTGTCAGGCTTTGGACTTAGCTTGATCTGTGCAGACACACTGAGGAAGGGGCCAATGTTTCGATGTGTACCTTGTACAGATAGCCTGGACATTTGTTTTTGTCTCTTAAGACAGAGTCCCACTATGTAGAGCCGGCTGGCCTGGAACTCACAGAGATCCACCTGCCTCTGCCTCCCCACGTGCTGAGATTAAAGGCACATGCCAGCACATCCTGCCCCGATGAGAAAAGTCTTGATTCAAGCATGTCCAATCTTTTGCTGTTACAACTTGATATTGTCATCTGCAACATTTACGATTGAGGATTGATTGCATCATCAAGTTGCAAACATCTTGAGTCACAGATGTCATGACATTTCAGGTAAGTTCATGAGTTTGCTCTGGATTGTATGCATCGCTGTCTGCAGGTGTGTGCCACCCCTGGGCAGCAGGTTGGACAGAGCAGAAAAGTATTCAATAACTTATTGTTACTGTGTGCATGCCGCAGCCTGGGTGTGGAGGTCAAAGAACAGCTTTGTGGGGTCAGTTTGCTCCAACTTCTGTGTGTGCCCTGGGAACTGGACTTAGGTTGTCAGGTTTGTACGGCAAATGCCTTTACTCACTGAGCCATCTTGCAAGCTTCATCTACATTTCAGATGATACTTAGTATTCTGCCCTTTGACTAAAACATCCTTGAGCTGAGGATGTGGCTTGGCAGGGGAAATGCTTGCGGTGTGATTATGAGGACCTGAGTTCAAATTCCAGGATCTATGTAAATTCAGGTGTAGTCACGCACATCTTTAACCAGTGCTCGTCCCGTGACTTGGGAGTTGGAGACAGGGAATCCCTGGATGTTTGTGAACCAACTAGCCTGGCCTACACAATGGTAGACAAGAGATACCCTGTCTCAAAAAAAGTTGAGGACTGACACCTGAGGTGTCTACCTGTACTCACATAATGTTTTTTAAAAGATCTATTTATTTATTTATTATACCGTATTCTGCCTGCATGTATTCCTACATGCCACAAGAGGGCATCAGATATCATTCTAGATGGTCATGAGCCACCATGTGGTTGCTGGGAATTGAACTTGGGACCTTTAAGAAGAGCAGCCAGTGCTCTTAACCTCTGAGCCGTCTCTCCAGCCCCTGCACTCACATACTTAAAGGCGCATGCACACACATCATGGATACAGAATAGGAATAAGGAAAATCAACCTGTTAATGGACAGTCAGTTGCTGGCACCTTTTTCAAATTATAAGCAATGATGTGAGGGCATTTTCAGGCTGTGTTGTTGTTTGGGGCTTTAAAAATAGATAGTGCTGAGGACCAAACCCAGAGCCTTGTATATGGGAAATAAATACTTCACTACTGAGCTACACTTTCAGCCCTGGAAAGCATTACTTTTGCCTCAATCCCCCTTTCTTGTTTAAAAATAATAACCACTTGACTGTGGTTACATGTGCCATGTATTCTTTTAATTCTTTTGTGTGTTACCTTTTTCTTTTGGGTTCTTTTGAGACAGGGTCTTACTATGTAGTTGTAAGTTGACCTGGAACTTGCTGTGTAGCCCAGGCTAGCCTCACATTTACATTCCTTCTGCCTCAGACCTGGGGTTACAAGTGTTTGCTCAGCTTGTTAAATCTTAATTCTCGTACAGATCCTACGCTGTGTGTGCCACGGTTGTCACCATTTTCAGCTAATAAAGTTGAGTCACATACACCGTGAGTATTTAAGCAAGCTTCCCAAGGTCACAGTGCCAGAAGAAGATAACGTGCAGCCTGATTCCCTGCTGCCAGAGCCCAAGATTTTGTTTTTGTCTTTGTTTTGGAGACAGAGTTTTTCTGTGTGTACCCCTGGCTGTCCTGGAGCTCACTTTGTAGACCAGGCTGGCCTCAAACTCGGAGATCCCCCTACCTCTGCCTCCTGGGTGCTGGGATTAAAGGCTTGTGCCATCACAACCCAGTTTTTTTTTTTTTTTTAAGTTTTGTATGTCAGTCAGGATTTGCTAGAGAAACAGCACTGATTAAATGAATATGTATAATATATTCATTTATATATGTTTATTTATTCATATATATAATGGTGTTTATTAAAGTGGCTTATAGGCTGTGGTCTGACTAGTCCAGCAATGGATGTCTCCCAAGAATATCCAAGAATCCAATAGCTGTTTGGTCCACAAGGCTGAATGTCTCAGCTGGTTTCCAATGTACGTTGGAATCCCAAAGAAGTGGGCTCTGACACTAGTGAAGGGATGGATTTGACAGCAGGGTGGGTGTTAGAAAACATGCGAATGTGAAGGTTACACGCGGGTTCACAAATCACGCCACGAGATCGGTTCCACATGGGAGGTTTATTAGGGGAAGGGGGGAGAAGGGAGCAGAGACAGAGAAAGGAAGAGAGAGAGAGGAGAAGAGAAGAGAAGGAAGAAGAGAGAGTCAGGGAGCAGAAGAGGAAGAAGAGAGAGAGGGGGGAGGGTTCCAGTTCTCTTATAGGGTGATCAAGGGCATGCGCAGGTAATTCCAGGTGGTCAGGGTGTCTTTACAAATGCCTGATAACCGTTCTATCAGGTCCCTTGGAGCTGGCCATAGAAGTGCCTGCTTACTGATCCCAACAGTGGGTGCAAGCAGGCAAAGAGCAAGAGCTGCCTTCATCCATGCCCTTCCTAGAGCCTGCCACCCGAAGACGTGGCCCAGATACCACCTCAGATGACTCAGTCAGGAAGAATCCCTCGCTGGCTCCACAGGCCACAGCTGCCCCAGGAGTTCCTGCCATAGTTTAGCTGGAAGTCTCGCCATGTGTGGGCTGCTTTGCTGAGCAGCAAGCCTGTTCTTGGTTATACTAGGAGTCTCTGGTTTCTACAAGCTTCAGGCAGGTTTGGGAGAGCCCTGGGTTTGCACTTTCCTCAGTCCCCTGTGGCTTTGCTTGCAACGGTCTGAAATCCAT